TTAAACTTTGAAAAGGAAAGATACTGTCTGTCGCGGTACTGTACAGTTATACAGTAGTTTACTGTATTCTGCACCTTTAATAAGTGTGGTAATTGATTTTATCAGTGTTGTTTCCAGATTTGCTTTAAATTAACGTATGGTACAGTTTAGTAAATGAAAAAGGAAGTTTGTTTTTCAAAGTGTATCCTAATATCTACATGACTAGTTGTGTGATATTTGCTATTAATGTAATTATTTATTCAGTAATTTCAGAAAGCATTCCTGTGGTTTTCCCCAATTTATTTGATTTAAAAAGAAAGCAACAGGAAACACCCTCCACACAAACTAAATGCTATCCACTGATCCAAGTCATTTATTACTCACCAGCAGTAAAATATATTACATTGTTTATTTTATTCCATATTTTTTCACCGTATTTTCATAGTCTACTTCGTGAATACCTGAATAAATCGACTAATTGTATTCTCGCTTTCAGGAGAACACCCCTCGAAAATGTAAAACACAATTCACAATTTCACTTTAATTTTACTTACTGTAGCCTAATTGATTGCTTTACATTGTTGTAATATAGATTTTTTTTTCTCTTATTTGTGGGGTCTTTCCACTTTTATTTGTTCCTTCATTTCTTTCAGACCAACAATTCACTTTCTGTCCTTAAGCTTATCTTACCAATATACAGTAATTGTATATTGTAAATATCTTGTTTCTGTATTTATCATTTATTCTAACTTGTCCATTTTCTGTTTATTTCCTTAACATCCAACAGCAAGTACACTTACTACTTATTATACTATAGATTTAAATATATTTCATGCAATACATAAATATAAAGTTTGGAAAATATTTTATTTATTTTTAAATATTAATTGTACGAATGTAATGTACAGGATCATCTAATGCAGTGCAATACTATACCAAGTTAAATGTTTCTACTTAAAATGTTCAATAGCATCAAATTACAGTACATTACAAATTATATTTAGCCCTGTAGGTAGTCCAGACATACGGTAGTACAGTCAAGTTTAACTGGATCAGGTGTACAATAAGGAGTACAGGGTTACAAGAAGGTGCGCCCAATATGTAAAGAAGGTGGGCTGTCTGTTAACATCTACTACAAAAACCACAGGGTCTTGCAGATATTTTTAGAAGTAGGTTAACTTCCAACAAGATTGTTTTATTTTCAGACCTCAGGGGGAGGCTTGAACAAAGAAGGCTCAGTTCTCTCTTGTTTGTCTAGAGCAAGTGAACCTAGATCCAGTGCTTGATATTTCCGATTGCTTAATTTGCATAAATTGGGAACATTTGGGGACTGAAGTGTGCGACCTTTAAATTTTATTGGTATTTTTATGACTTTTAAAGTGAAGTTATCACAGTCTAATTTTGATCTAATTTGAAAGGTTTCTGATATTTTTATTAGTGTTAATCTCTGGGGAGATAGTAAATTCTACTTATATTTCACCTGAGCCTGTGTGACTATTTCTACAAGAGTACATTCTAGAATAGTTGCCAACTCAATTACATTACAAGGGTTTAGATTTGAATGACATCCAAGTACAATTTCTCATTCCAAACCTTATAGTACTGTAGTATATATATTTCTTGGTTTAGCCCACATTTCTGCGTTTTTCTGTTAAGTGTAATGCAAACAATAGGGAATTTCAATCGGACGACGGTGGGTGAATGTTGAATTCTCATGATTACATGGATTCTAGAACGAAAGTTGACAAAGTCTAACAGAGAACGTATGTAGACGCCTGGTTGGGCTGACGCCCGGTTGGGTTGACGCCCGGTTGGGTTGAGGGTAGCATAGGAAATTTTTGCCATTTTTATGAAGCCCAGAATGCTGAGATTGAAACACAAGCTCCTGATATACTGTAGGCATAAGGCAACTAACCATACTGTACACTTAACAATTCCTTTGATAATTTATTGTGCATAATTATATTTCATTTGTCTTTTAATACCATACTCATTTATTTATTACATAACTGCATTGTATTTAACTTTCCATGGACTTTCATACATTCATTCTCGTATATCATATATTACTATGGCTACACATTTGAACTAAAGTGAACTACCGAAATATCATAAATCAAATTCATTCTTCCCATAAAAAAAAACAAAAAAACTGCAGAGTAAATAATTGTATTCTGTGACAAAATGAAATTATTCGAATATCTCATAAATCATTGTAAAACACTCATGGCTTTGTTGGAAGTGTTTTGTTTTTCAAAACACTTTCAACAAATAGTAGATATGGTACCCATAGTCAAATGTACTTACAGTATGTTCATATACAATACAATCAACAACATTCTACAAAATATGCTTGGTTTATGTTTTTGTTTTTGAGTGTTTCTGATGTTCAAAAATAGGTCACTGTTGGAATACCAGTTAACTAAGGAGTCAACCTTAACTTAAAACTGCAAATTATGTTAGTGGGGAGGAGTCAGCAGTGTAAAATGTATGTACTCATGAAAATGACTATTCTTTTTATTGTCTACTCTTGGAGATGGAGGGAGCCACAGAAAAGAGTATTTTCCATTTATAATCTCTTGGAAAATTGGTTTAAAGTAAAGGATGACTCCTTATTTGGAAATTGAAAACATTTTTCAGAAAAGCTTTTTTCTAATGCTACAAAAGATACTGTCCCAAATATTGAGGCATACTGCATGCAATTAGGGAGTAATTTCACTACAGTAACATTCTCAATTTCAAAAAACTTTAAAATAGCTACTATTGCATTTATAAATTATACAGCAGCCACATGAATAATTTAATTGAATTTATATTTAATATTCATTATTTTCATTTATTGTGTAGATGAAACCATTTGATGATAGAATCTTGTTCCTCCTCCGTCTGAAGCCCTCCCCCTTTTTTTTTTGTACTCTTGATGTTTAATTGGAGGAAATAAGTATATTATTATTATTATTATTATTGTATTTCTTCTTAGTATACTGTGCCATTACACTGATCGTCCTGTATGTTAATGCTAATGGTAGTACGCCTTCCACATTAATATTATCGTCTCAAGGCACTAAAATTATTCAGACCACGAATTGCGCCAAAAAACAAACAAAATATAAATTTAAAAAAAAAAACAAACAAGTCGTTCTTGCATTCGAAATTAGACGGCGGCCAAACATGGCATTACTATTAATGAATTGATTCGGACCGCGAGTACGAGCAGGAAGGAAAAAACATACTATTTACTTAGTGTATTTAAACTGTCGAACTATACATCAACAGCTAGGGGTCGCTAATTGTGTCTGTAAAGCTAGTTTCAATGAAGAGATTTGTTTGTGGAATGCCAACTGTTGTTAGAAAAATCAGAGGCCATTGTTGTAGTAAGCTTGCCTACTCATCCTTCACTAATATACTTGATAGGAATTTTTTTATCACAATTTTTCCGCCCTTTTATACTTCACAGTTATGTTGCTTAATATTCTATTTAAATTTTTTGAGTTGTGGGTGTTATTTTATAGGTTTAGTAAGTGTGTTCATATTGAAAAGTTTTGATTAACATTGTGAAATATATATTTGTTTTGAATTTTTTATTGTAAGAAATTTGAATAACTATTAATCCTTTTGTGCCATTTGATATTGAATGTGTGTTTATCTTTCATATTACATATTGATGTATACAGCAGGCCTACGGTTTCCAGTTATTTAGAAAAGTAAACAGGAATAATTTACTCGGATGATTAATAGGAGTATGTAGTATGTCAATAGTTTCTTGCGTCAGTAGATTTTGGTCAATAAACAATCAAGAAAGAAACAAATGTTGCGCTGCTGCGCAGTACACGCATACTGTAAAATGAAAGGTCACCATTTTAAAGACTAAAAAAAATGATACATGCTATTTCATTGCCAAACATAATAATAATGAAAACATACTACCATTGCAAAATCGTATTTTCAACTAAGTGATGGAATAAAATTAATTTTACTGACCCTTTATCATCAACTGTATGTTCTCAACTTGATAGAAAATGCGTATAGTGGAAGTTAATATTAGTTCTCAATAAGATTTATTTCATGGTCACATTTTATAGGTGGAAATAATTTAGCCAATTACTTCCTTTAGTAGAGATTAGATTCTACGGATTATATGTTCAATTTTAATTCAATTTTAAATTTGTAAATTGTAGGCGGCCCTACTGTATAGTGTATACAGATTCATATTTTGACTGTGTATAATGGACCTTTCTGTTAAGGGGCTTTCTCTTCCCCTCCCCCTCCTTTGATTATTCAAGCTGTCCCATGAGACAACAGTGTAAAAACATATGCGAACATGTGTTAATCCTGGTCCTCTTCTGATTGGTCGGTTAATAAGTTTGATTGACATTCCAGATAGGTTTATTGTTATTGTACTGAGCAAGTCAAATGGCCAAGCGGTTAAGGCAGGAGCACCGTAATCATAGCCAACAATATCGGCATGGGTTCGCGGCCGGCTCGCTCCTATAGTTCTGGTGGTGGAACAAGTCTTCTTGGTTAAGGACTATAAACCGTAGACCCAGTGTACACAAATGCTCATGTGCACTTTAAAGAACCCAGTATATCTTTAGATACGAGTAGGGGGGTTACCCCGGTGTACTGCTTCATTCGGCCCCTGTTGTAGACAGATGAAAGTGCGCCGGTTTGCTGGCTGTAGAAGACATGAAGTGACCCTCAGGGGAGGGGAAAGTTATTGAAAATGCAACATCTAGTCCGCTGCGCCTTTGATAAATCTTTGAATTGGCGCATTATAAATACTGTATTTGTTATTATTATTTGTTATCAAACCTTAGCTTTTCTCAATGGTTATTACATTGAAAATTAAACAATAAAATTGTACACAACACTGTAATTGGTTCCAAGACACAAATAAATCGTAGGTTTGAAGATAGTACAGTGTATTAAATATATCAAGAGCAATATTTTAGCGCAGGTGGAGTAACATATAACAGGATGCTGATACCACATCATTCATGTATTTTCTTTTTATTTTGCAGGGACACTAAGCCATACTCATTTGCCGACTGCAGTAAAAATGGTAAATACTTTTAATTTATATGTAATATCCAATGAAGAGTTAACAAACGGTATATACAGTAAACTGTATGTTATGTCACTGTTTATTTCTTGGAAGGCTTACATGGCGAATATGAATAACAGAATAATTGAACTTCCAGTACACCATGTGTAATTAATAATATGGTTTTGAGGTGTAAAACCACTGGTTGATAGTGAGACAATCAACCAGTGGTTTTACCTCAAAAACCATATATACACATGGTGTGCTCAAAGTTTTAAATATTTTGTCATATTTCTATAGTTTTTATAACTCGCATTACAAGAAATGTTTTTTTTTTTTTTTTTTTCTGGGTCAATGACGAAAGGATGCATTTTCCATCAATTTCAGTTACGTCAGCTTCGGTTAAATGCACTTTTGCTACCACAAACATTTAAATGATTCATCCAATATCCACTCAAATCATGTGACTGAAGATTTAATTAATCGTGGTTGTATGTTAACGAACCGCCCTTTGTATACAATTGATACACAAATATATTATGCAAATAAGAAGAGACAGCAGCTATCCTTTACGCAATCAGTATAATTTGAATTCAAATATCGTTGAAGGTATTGCTCAGTGTTCTTGTTTAAACTCTTCATAGCATCTTTTAAGGCTAAATAAAATGAATCCCTGCCTTCATCAAATTTTGGGGACTTACGGATTTTTTTTTACAACTTGCTTTTTTTAAACAGAAAAAAAAAATAATTATCAAGGAAAAATAACTTTGTTGTTTGAAGATAGAAGTACACTTATTATTGACTGGATTGATAGACTACCGAGTCTGTAGCATACAATGTTGATTTCTCATTTATACCGCATGCTTATTTTCATGTTGAAAACAGTGTATTATCGACTGGTCTTTTGCTTGTCGACAAAACAGCAAATACTAACACCCCCCCCCCCCCAACAAGAAGTAAATTTCAAAATCCTGGATGTGGAACTAAAAGTAAATTTTACTTGGCTTAAAAGAGGCTTCCCTCCAATTAAAGACCACTTAATTGGAACCAGGGCTTTGCATACATGGTGTTTAGCAGCTTTGGTCTCTAATTAGAATAGTAAAAGATAAAAGCTTAGACTTTTTAATTTGGGACCACAGAAAAGCCGTCTTTAATTGGAGGGGTCTTCTGTTTCAGGAAGACCCTGAAAGGTGACAGTGTATATGTCTGTACACTGTAGACCTAAACTATTCCTAATATTGGGAAAAATGTCTAATGATCATGGCATTTTTTGGTTTTTTTTCAGAACTTCCATTAGGGTGGGAACAGGTATATGATGAACAACTTGGAATATACTACATCAACCACATTCATAGTAAGTTAATGATGTTTAATAAATTACAAAGAATTTATTGATAAACCCTTTAAACTAAACATTAAAGTATAGTCTGTTGCAATCTGGCTATAGGGGAAAAAATGCAGACAATTGCTGCAGAAACTGAAAAATAAGCAGATGCTGATAGTGATAGTATTGTACTTATAGAGGTTTATGTTTTTTTAAAGTTGGTTGCTCCAGGTTTTGTCTGGGGTCAGGTTCGCATGATGGTCCTGTGAAATATGTTTCTGCTAGATTGCTAGCTCACAAAAGTCTGGAAAAAATGGGATTCACTAAACTTAACCTATTATGACACCATTTGTCGTCGCCACTTTCAGGCCTGGAAAAAAATATTTGGGCTCTCAATATGAAAGTTGTCATTAATAAAATAGCTCCAACACCAAATATTATCTGTACACTACATAGGCTACCGGTATATAGGCTAACAGTTTGGTTTTTTTTTAATTTTCCCCCCCCCCAAAATTACTCTGGGACATTTCATTTTGCCTCCGGCCGCTAATCGTGTGGTCACACACTTTTTTAAGCCCTGCCCACTTTTTTTTTCTTATCAGCATATAGTCACAATTGTAAAATGCACCTAATAAATTAATTGATTCAAACAACTTTCAATTTCTAGTATTTAATTTTGAAAGATTCATTCAAAATTGAAAACTCCAACCGCCATCATATTTGTGATAGCAGAATTCTGTATTATCAAAACAGTTTGTAATGCTTAAAATATTTTGATTGTTTGTGCTAACTTCCTTTTTGGGAGTTTGTTTTGTTACTGTTGGTTAGATGGCTAATGAATAAAGGATTTTATATATGTCAACTTTTTATTGCTAAATAACTTGGAGTTCTTCATCTGTGTAATGATTGTGATTTTTCTGCATGATGTATTTTGTGATTAGAACAGTAGGTTTAACTGTGCTGTATTGATGAATGGTGGTTTGTTAGTGGCATTTCTTTACAAACTATATTGAGGTTTACTTTCAAATCTGTATGCAAATTTCTTAAATTTAAAGTATTACTACTACTATTACTACTATTATTATTATTAGTACTATTGGCGGTTAAAAAGATCCTGTCTTCCAAATACAAACATGAAGTTGAAATAGAAAGTATATTTTTTTTTTTTTTTTAGTGTAAATTTAAATTTTTTTATGCTGTACTACAATTTGTAATAAATATAAAATATTCTTCGGATATTCATGTATAGCATTTTAAAGCATTTTTCCTCCAAAGCCTGTCTTGAAAGTAGAATTTATAAGTTTAGTATTATATTGTACTGTAGATTGAACTATATAAATGGATACGTGCAATATTGGATAAAATATTGACTATATAGCTAGAAACCAGGATACTGTATGCCTGGATAAGTACACAGTATAGCTGTGTTATGGATACTAATAAACCTTAGGAATAATGTACACCTGGACACTGCATGGATAACTGTACACCTAGATACTGTACACACGCATACTGTGTACCTGAATACTCTACTATACTGGGATACCATACACCTGGATAACATACAGTACACATTTATACTGTACACTTAGATTTGTACTTGAAAATTCTTCTGTATACGTGGATACTGTATACCGGGATACTGTACTGTAACACATTTATACCTTACACATGGATACTGTGTACTTGGATTCAGTACTCTATACCTGGATATTTTACACTTGGATACTGTTACATTGTACACATATCGTAGATAATGTGCACATTATACACGCAAGATACTGTACTGTATACAACAGTATCTGGATACTCTACTGTACATTTAGATGATATTCATCTACCTGTAGATACCGTACAACACACAATTGTACTACATACCTGGATACTATACACCTGGATACTGTGTACTTGGATACAGTACTGTATACCTGGATACTGTACTTGATGGATACTGTGCACCTGGATATTAACTAAGTGTGGTAATAGTGTCGAAATTTCTCTATAGCACACAAAAATTCTCTATATTATGCTCTTTTATGTACAGTAGGCCCTATTGGGCCTTCGTTCCTTTACACATCGTATACCGTAGAGTCCTTAGCTACATTAAATCAAAAGCTACAGGATTGATTGATTGATTGATTGATTAATTAATCTATTGATTGATGAATTGATTATGGAATTATTTTATTTCCCCCATGATGCAATGCAGTACTGATGTTAACCCATGGATACCTACAGTAACTGTAACTTATAAATTTTATGCTTATCTAACATACATAGTGTTAACTGCTTGTTGATACTGATAGTGAGTGGAATGATTTAAGGAGTGGTGGTTTGGAATTTTATTGATGTGAGAGTGCATGAATGTACACAGGTGAGATTACAGTAGTTTTCAAGATTTCTCAACAAAGGTCACAGGTTATGATGATATATTGAACTCTGTGCATACATACGTGGCTCATGCTTTTTCTCATAATGCACTAAGCAATTTTTGAATAGCGAATTCATAATGTTCTTTTTTAATTTTTACTGAGCTGTTCTGATACTACAGTATATTAAGTATTTTTGTTACTGCAATTAATTGTTTGTTTCAGTTTAAATTTACAATTGACTAGCAATCTTGGTAAAAAACAAATCTGTTGATCATGTGTTACCACTAGTTTTAAATACTGTGTTAAAATATTTGTTAATATTTTTTTTAAGTGTCAAAAATATAATTTTTGGGGGATTTTTTTAAAAGTTACAGTACAATATATACTAACAGTAGTTTAGTGTAATTAGATGTTTTAATTATATTTCTGTAAAATTAAAATAATAAATAATATGTTTACTCAAATCAAGGCAGTCCCTATTGTACTAATTACTATACATTAATATTAATATACCGATTCCAATACTAATATTATTTAATAGTTTAATTTCTTTTGATAAATTATGTTTTGTATATTGTTTTGCTAAATGAAAATACAGTGAACTAAGTAATTTCTCCATTTTTTTTATTTGTAATACTTTTAACAGAGTTTTCAACATCATCCCAATCACTTGTCATTATAATTTATTAATACTGTAGATATAAAGTATTGTTATCAAATATTCCATTCCCCTTTGTAATTGAACAAGCAAATATGCGGAATATTTTGTTGATTGATATATGGTTACAACCAACAATAGATGATTAATGGTCCATAGCCAATAGACTATGCCTCTTCACACACCTGTCTGTCCTTAATGCCTGCAAATTGTGATCCATGGTAAAATGGATTTGACAAGATGAAATATCTGAAATGAGTAAAAAACAATTAAAACTGAGTGCCTTACTATAAATACAATCTCTCCTTATATACTGTGTTATCACCGTGATCCCCATATGGGATTTGCTAATTTTAACCTTTTAAGAGTGAGCCAATAATTCATTAAATAAACTTATAATACAGTATATAATATTCTCTAAGGCCAGATAAAAAAAAAATCTATGTATCACCCAGACTAAATATAGATAAGGACCCTTTTGGTTTTTTGTTTTTTTTTTAATTTACACATTCATTAAACTTGCTATACCATTTGACTTTAAGTGGTTTTACCAGGGTTTGCCCGATGGGAGGGCTCTGTCCAACAGAGGCTGTGACAATTTTTTGTTGAGGCCTATGGAATATTTCAATGAAATGCTTCTTAGTGTCCAGCCAAAGGCTATCAGGTGCCTAGGAAATCCATTCAGTGTTGGCAATTTAAAGCTTTAATGTTGAAGAGTGTATTATTCCCTCTGAACATTAAAAAAAATGGAAAGAAATTTTTTTTTTCATGACTAGCAAATCATTGCTCCTGAGGGAGGGGGGTGACAACTAAAGATGTTTTTAGGAGATTTAGTTTCTACAAGATTTTCAGTGTGTTTTGCTCTTGAACAAAAAAAAAAATTGCTGTAAAAAAATAAATGGAATTGAATAACAAATTCCGAATTCCAAAGCCTTTGAACTTGGCATTTGAGGTAATTAAACCCCCAGAGACAAGGGGACTTTGTGAATAACACATCGAGAGTTAACATTAAATGTGGATATATGTGTCCAATGGTAAATCTATCCTGTGCTAAGCCTTCTGGATTCCAGAAGAAATCATGGTAACTATAAATCAAGCTGTTTTGTTATTAAAATGTATCAGTAATGCCAAGTTTCATGGATTAGGGCCAATAGTTGTATTGATAAGACCAACGTTCGCTATAAATAATAATTCAAAACTTTAACTTTAAATGTCGCTGTCGAAAAGATATTGATGTGCTAAGCTTTCAAGATCCTTATAGAAATTGTAAATTATCGATTTAAAAAATATATGGCCATGTTTTATAGATTACGGGTATTGATAACAACCACTGTTGCTAGACTGTAAAGTACAGTAAATTCAAACTTTAAGCTCAAATGTCACTGGAAAGCTGTCATGTGCTAAGCTTTCTAGATCCTTGTAAAAAAACGTAAACTGTAATTTATCGACTTAAGAAATATATAAAGCCACGATACACTTACGTTAAGAACCAGTAAAAAAAATTTTTTCAGGCTCAGTGTTATTTTTTTAGCTGCTTCTATCTCCTTAAGAAGTTTGTTTAGAATTTTGTTCTTATTTTTACACACATTTTAAACATACAAAATTATTACTGTACAGCAGTGTGTAGTTGTATTGATAACATTAACACCCACAATTGCTATAAATAGTAATTCAAAATGTCACTGGAAAGTCATCATATGCTAAGCTTTCTAGATCCTTGTAACCTATAATTTACAGATTTAAAAAATACATAAAGCCATGTTTTATAGATTATGATGATTTATTGATAATTCCTACTGCTGCTGTGGGATAAATAGTAAGTCCACCCCCAGCTTTTTATTCAAATTTGCATTTTAAATGTTATGACGACATTGTGTAACTGCACAGTATAAAGCCTTCTGGATTCTGGAATTTAAAAAAAAATATATATATATATAAATCAACCAATTTTTAATGATTGACGATAATAACTTCCCCACTTCTGCTCAGTAAAAATGAATACTTTTAGGTTTTTACAGTATGTAATATAAATAAATAGGATAAATAATACTCTCGGTTTGTTGATACAAATTTGCATTTTAAATGTTGTGAGGAAATTGTGTATAGTTTTACTATAATAAAGCCTTCTGGATTCTGAAATAAAAAAAATATAAGTCAACCAATTTTTAATGATTGATGATATATATACTGTAGTACTGTCATTCCCACTTCAGCTCAGTAAATAATACTTGCAGGTTGTTATGTAATATAAATAAATAGGATAAATTTATACTCTCGGTTTGTTATAGAAATTTTCATTTTGAAATGACATTGTGTACTACTGTAAAGCCATCTGGATTCAGGAATTTAAAAAAAAAAAATGTAATCGACCAATTTTTAATGATTAATGATACTGTATGCTGTAGTAACGCCCACTTCTGCTCAGTAAATAATACTTGCAGGTTTTTATGTAATATCCTGTAATTAAATGGGATAAATAATAGTCTCTTTTTGTTAATTAATACAAGTTAGCATTTTTAAATGTTGTGAGAACATTGTATTCTAATGTAGAGCCTTTTGGATTCTAGAATTTAAAAAAAAATGTTAATCAACCAATTTTGAACGATTGATGATATACTAGTAAAGTCTTGCTCCCACTTCTGCTCGGTAAATAATACTGTATTTGTAGGTTTTTATATATAAATAAATTGGATAAATAATATACCCTTGGTTTTTTAATATAAGTTTGCGTTTTTAAATGTTGTGAGAACATTGTATAATGCTAACCTGCTGGATTTTTGAATAAAAGAAAAATATAAATCAACCAATTTTTTTTTATTAATGATTAACTAACTCCACTTCTACTGCATTAAATAATACTTTCAGGTTTTTGCATATAAATATTTGCATATTAAATGTCACTGGAAGCAATCAAATGAAGAGAAATTTATGCAACATTTTTAATGTACTGTTATCTACATATAATTTGGCCTACTCTAAAAGTAGTATAGGCTGTGACTTTCTGTTTCTTAGGTGGGGAATAAAGTGATATAAAATAGATTTTCTATTTACACTTCTTTCATTCAAGCAAAGCCATTGAATGAGAGAATTGCGTAGCGCATGTAGAGTTTAATTTCTGTTTTGTTCATGCCCGAGAAATGTACTAAATTGTTTAAAATATTTTTTGTTTAAACCAACTCGGAAATTTTCGGGGAAAAAAGGAATATCAGGAATTTTTTAGTTGGATTTATTTATAAAATGAGTTGTTTGGAATGTAGCCCTGGTAATGATACGACACAGGGGAAAACAAGCGCTGTATGATTTATGGTGTGAAAGTTATTAAAATGAACTACAGTATGTTTTATGTCAATTTGGTTATTGACTACAAACAAAAGTCATATATATCACCTGCTCAGTATTATGTGATTTTATGGGCACTAAAAATTCATCTCCAATAAAATTAAATTATTTGTTGAAACATGTAGATTATGCTGGGAATATTTATTCCCCTTTGTTGCTCGCATAATATCCTAAAAACCTTATGAATCTGTGACATAGAGTTTGCTATACTGTGACTGTTAACAAATACATTAAATGTCATTTCTTGGGTTCCGAATGAAATGGCAATTTTGTTGTCTTAAGTGTACTATCGCTAAGATGGGAAAATTTACTTTATTACAATGCTACACATCACATCTAAGGTGAGATGTTTTATTCCTGCCAAAAATGTTAATTTTGAATAAAAATATAATTTTATATTTGGCCAATTGGCCCACTCTCCACCATTAAAAATGGAAATTTCAAAAAAAAAAAATGTATTTATTTTTATTGAAATCTCCAAAGTAAGATGTATATTTCCACCCATTTATATAAATTTAAAGCATTTAACCATCCCATCACTAACCTACACTACTTAATTCGCCAACAAGTTTTTATTTTTCATTTGATTTCCAAATAAGAAAACAAAAATAATTTTTTTTTTTCACCTTTTGAGAATCTTTAAAAAAATAAGTTAGCGAAACAAGGTAGAAAAAAGATTTGCCTAATCTGAAATAAAGCTAACCTATAAGAAAATAGTAAGTTGATAAATATATGATCTCTGTTAAATTATTCGTTTTTTAAATTTTAAGTTTTAATTCTTAATTTAATTTGTTTTTTCCCTTTTTTTTTTTTTAGAATTAAATCAGATTGAGGACCCACGACTGCAGTGGCGGCATCAACAAGATGAAATGCTTAAAGATTATTTGCAATCGGCGGAAAGAGATTTAGAAACTAAACAGGAAATAGTGAACATAAAGCAACAACGATTACAATTGGCTGAAGCCGAGGTAATGTGAAATCTTTGTTTTAATTGGATATTGTAACTCGCTGCGTCACACGACAGCCCAATGACATATCCTACTCAGCTCCAGTGCGAAGGTCTGACACCGTCTGTTGATTTCGGTGGTAGTCTGAGCTGATCCTCATTAAAACCAATACATTGCATGTGCGTCGTGGCGTATCGTTTATCACTGAATAAATTTATCTTACTTCTGGGGTCTTGTTGAACTCGTAAGAAAATTAGTTGTATAATTTTTTTTATATACCAATTTTATTTTCATTTTTAATTTTACAATGGTCTCTTTTTCATTAATTTTTAGTATGATCATTTGAATTATCATCTAAGTGGATCACAGTCTAAAACAAGTTGTAAGTATTTACAGGCTTTTGTAAATGTTTCTGAATTGTTTATTTTTAACACCTGACAATGAGGTAAACAAGCATTACAAATGTTGTTTATATCACTCCAGATTCTGAAAAGTACATTAAACTCTGAACAAACCTTTTCCTGACCATTCAGGCAAATTCATGATTTGGAATATTCCATTATGAATGCAAGGTTGTTATGATTCTGACCCTAACAAATAGGATTTAGTAAATTCATGAAGAATACTGTACCATGTTATTTCTATTGAAATCAATCTAACCTCAATCGTCCTTAAGAAACATTATGGTACTTTAACTATGCTTTTTAATAGACCATTAAGGGTCAAGTACTTAAAGGTCAACTATACAGATTGTCTTACCGTATCCTAAAAATATGTTGGTATCTGAAATTCTATATTTAGATATAAAAAATAAATTAATAATAAATATAAACAATTTTATTTTATAATGTGTTTTTGTGTAGGGCCATGCCACCGCGACAACAAGTCATAGAATTTAAAGATCGACTTCTATAATTTATATTTTATCATCATTATTATTTATCAGTGTTTGTCTAGACTAATAAAAAGTAAGACTTTACTAAAATATCCTCTTGAATTTAACTTATAACTTGCTTGGCCGCAGACAAAGAGAAGCCCACAGCTTTTACACTCAGTTGTATGGCCTTGGTAAATCCTAGTTTTTTCATGGGAAGAAGCAAACATTGCCAAAAGCCCTCCAATTTTTTATTTTCTGCACAAACAAAAGCCTTATCCGTTTCAGAATGCGAGGAATTTCTATTATCAGGGCCTGTACAAACGCCTTATCTGTATACTGGTCATTACTGAATCAAGCAGGTGTTACCTGTATTATTAAACTGTTGTTAGTGGTTTTTGTTGCTTTCTCTGTTCTGAAAATCATCCAGTAGTTATTAGTTGATATTTTGTAATGAAAGCAAAGAAAACAATTCAACAAGACGTAAAGATTATGGAGACCAAAATTTCGAAAAGGAATTTACTTGAATAATGTGAATCAATATTAAAGAATGCATTTTTTTTTTTTCGTCGCATGGGTGAATGCCTTTGTTGAGCTTAGTTTGAATTAGTTGCTGGTAGCAACCTGTTCTTACCTGATTTAGAAAGAAGTTATCGATTGCCTCTATGTATAGGCAAAAGAAAACAAGTTTTTATTGGAATTCTGAAAGATACAAGACTATATATTCAGCCTCCAGAATAAAATGTATTTTATTCATTTTTATGTTTGATGCTGTACCGTACCGTATGGTAGTTATTTAATATGATTGGAATAGGTTTTATACAAAGTAAAGCAATTTCTTCCACATTCTCACCTAGGAATCAAAGTAAGTAAACATTTTCAGGAGGTATTTTCTTTAGTGTAAGAACTTGAATTATAAAACTCGCTACTTAAAATCATTACTTTTTATATTACTTGTTAAGCCAAATAAAAAATTTATTTATTTATTTTTTATTCTATTAGTTCTCTTTATTTTAAGAAATGTACGAAAATCTGGCTAACTCACATCAGTAAAATTTCTCTCGCGATTATTCGTGGTTGGGGATACATATGGTATGAATTATGTCTACTTCTTCTTCTATTTGCTTTCAATGTGTCTACTTGGTAAAAGTTAGAAAGTATTAGGCTATGTTCACACACACGGCGTAAGACTGGTGTAGCTTACGCTAGGCGTAAGCTAATTCACGGATTAAAATTCTAAAGTGTTCACACAAACTGCGTTCGCTATATTAACTCTGGCGTTAAACTAGTAGCAATATAGGCCTATGGGGGAATAGTTTTAAGTTTTAAATAATGTACGGGTTCTTAACTGCAGTAAAATTAACAGTGCATCAGTAAAACTTTTAAATCTGTGAATTGTTCGAAGTGAACTTATATGATTATTGTATTTTAAATGAATAATTTTGCTTTGATTTTTCAGCTAGCATTGTTGGTGTTGCAGGTTTTAATAGACAGTCGAAATATGTTAAAATATCTTACAAAACACAATCAACAAATCATATACATTATAACTAAGCAACATGCAATAGCAAAAGAACCCCTTTACTATTTCATTCATAGAGAGCACAGGAAGGAGACCAAAGTAGCTAATATATTGCAATCATGATTGGTCAATCTCTTGAAATGAGGTGAAATCATTCAAGTATCACTGGCGTTAGCTCAGTGGCGTTAGCTAATCTGGGGTCTGCAGGTAGCGTTAATAACACCAAGGACGTGGCGTAGTGAGTGGCTTTAACAACGCCACTGCCTAGTTCACACACAAAGGCGTACGCTACGCCATGCTTAAGCCAGCCTTACGCCGTGTGTGTGAACATAGCCATAATGTTTCCCATCGACAATCTTAGATTTGCATTTGCCATCTCGGAGCAAAAGTAAAAAAAGAGCCCTTTCTCCTTTTTTCAAAATATTAGGACCAGAAACTTTTTTTTTTTTACTTTGCCTTAGCTGTTAACTTGATACCTTTCAATTGAAAATAAAATGAGGATGTATCTTGCAGAATTATATGAATTTCTCTATTTTTTATTCTAGTAAATTCAACTAGTTCAACAGGAAGTACTAAGTATGACCCTGACTTGCTCAGAGCGGAGGTCAGTAATTCCAAGAAAAGGGTTGCTATGTTACAGGATCAGTTACAACAGATACAGACAGAATTACAGTACCAACAAAGAGGCTATGAAACCCTAGCAAAGTAAGTTTAACGATGGGAAAATGTAATTATAGAGACATTTACTATTTTAAAAAAAACATTAAAAAATGTATGTTTTAGGAATTTTTGATTTTAATCCTGATAAAATACATTTTTGTATATTGTCTGTAAATAAGTATTATATAACAATAGTTAGATTAAAATGTACACATAATCTTTATTATATAATTTCTGTTATATAAACTAATATAATTAAAAGTGACGTACTTTCTTTCAACAATTTTTAAAGTTTTATGTGAATTTTTGATTTGTGAATATGATAATTCACTTTTTGACTGCCTAGTATTGTGTGAATGTTTATAATATAATTGCAAATAAATTGCATTTCTTCCTTAAATGTGAAAACTTTATCAGCTCAATCATACTTTTGGTACACTACTGTATATTTATAGCTGGTGACAAGATTAGCTGATATTCATTGGTCCTCTTAAATAAAGGCAAAATTTATATCAATTAGATATCCATTTCTTCCTTAAATGGGTAAAGATTTATCAGCTCTATCATGTTTTTGGTGTACACTATATTTAGGCCCAATGAAAACAATTATTGGCTTTATCACCCTCTGCATGTCTTCTTTGGTGCTGAAAAGATATATATTTTTGAATATTTTGATTTTTTTTTAATTCAAATTAAATAGTAGATATTGTTTGTATTATCTCAATCATGTTTTACTTTAAATATCAATGCACCAGTAAACAACCCAAGTGTGATATTTGGCTTTAGCAAAATAAAAAATAAAAAGCCCCCTTTCCTCATCACACTTTACCAACCTAGATTAGGGTGATAAACTAATAATAATTTTTATAGGACCTTATAAAGCGTGCTACCAGATTAGCTGATATTCAGGGGTCCTCTTAAATAGACGAAATTGATATCAATCAGATATCCATAAACTAAGTCTCTTTACTATATGAAGCTTGGGTAGTGTAAATGTTTTTTTTTGTAAGAAAAAAATCCTGTCCTATCACAGGATTTGAACCCATGACCCTGGGATTGGGAGGCAACCATCTAAACCACCAAGCTACATCGTCACACTAAGTCAGAGCTTATGGTATTGAAAGTTGTTTACTTTTTGTTCAAGAAAGTGGTCGATAAAATATTGCAGCTGAATTTTTAAAGAGTATTTTTTTAATGTCATCTAGAAACTCCTTAATCAAACCAAACCCACGGCTTTTTCCGGAGGAAAGGCCTAGCATGTGTGAAATAAAATTAATTGTTAGTTTTCACACTAGTAATTGAAAATTTTGTTTTTGGTGAGGATGTTTACTATTTTGCTCTTTACTATGCTATATACTAGTAGTAAAAAAGCTGTTAAATAATAAAAAACTGGTGTTTTTTTTTTTATAGAATTAGTAAAATTAATCTCTCTAATGCAGTCTGCCATTTGTGTTTCCACCTCTTAGGCTTTGACAACAATCTTTCAGATTGCCATTATTTATATTTTCCAATGAAAAGTTAGTGGGGCTTTTTTTTTTTTTTACATAGCAAATAGTAACTTTTCAGGAGGCTCAAAATTTTGATGAGGGTGCGGACGTGCAACTAGCAATTTGATTTGGCCGAATGCAGTTTAAAACATTCTGTGATTAATTGTTGTTTCTGCAGGGTTGATGAGAAGATGTCAGTAGGACAGGAAACGGTGACATACCAAGTAGATGATGTGAAAGCTATTATTGATGAAGTCAGCTCAATCAAACAATCACTGATTGTGGGGCAGAAACAAAAACAAGACCTCTGCGAAGTAAGTAATAATTCCATGTAACGGTATTTGATAAGAAATAGGCGAAAAATGTCATTCACAATATTTCATATATTATTTTTCTTGTCTTGCATTCCAAGGATGTGATAAACATCTTACTGCTAATCATTAGGAGCCTTATTTATAAATAATTAAATATTTTTGATAATAGATTTTCTAGCAAATCATCTTCTATTTATATAATAATATCATCCTATTGGTGGAATATCGACAATGATTAAATTTAGATTTTGGTGGTATGTGAAGACCGAGGGGTTCGCAAATGCCAAAAAAATGGGTTGGTCACAACTGTTGTGGCTGCTTTTGTTTTTCTTTGTGTTTATCCCAGTACCATGCAATCAGGAGTTACATTAGTTTGGTCCATTTGGCATCTTTTAAGCCAATAATATTTTCCTATGATTATGATATGATTAGAAAATCAGGAATTAATTAGGCTAATATTTGGTATCTTCTAAAACTAGGAGTTTTGCTCAAAGTTAAAAATAATCAAAAATTAATTAAATTAGATTGGTATTCTTTAGGTCAAGAATTTTCTCATTGCTAAGTATTGTATTAATTAGAATTTAGTATCTTTTAAGCCAGGAATGTCAGTTAAATGATAGAGAATTATTACCAGGGTATTTGGATTTAGTTAGATTTAATGAACAATCTTAGTCTTAGTTCCTCAAGTGAATCCTTATTTGAAAAACACATTTTACATATCAAAGAATTTCTGATATTTATGGCATCTTCATACAGATATCATATGTTATACATTTTAGATGATTAGTCTAATTACCTTAATATTATTTAAAATATCTATAAATTTTAGTTGAATCCAGATTAAATATTTAAGGCATAGCCCTACTATACTGTAAGTGTATAGTGTAATAGTGTAGGAAAATTTGTTTATTTTTGTTATTTTATTTTTATTGGGTAAAAATAACTCTGTTGATTATAGATGCGCCGCTATTTATAATTTTGAATAAAAAATATCTCTGCACTTTATCTTTTGAAAACAAGGAGATTTGTGCTAGTGTGATTCTTATCATTCTTGTACAATTTCAATAGGTATTGTCAGTTTCTCCTACATGTTTGTTGTCCTACCTGAAAAGCGTTTTGTTTGGTAGAACAAAGTGCTCCGCATTCCAGGCGCTATAGATAGCGAAGCTTCTTATGCAACAGAAAACCTTTCTATATAATGTTCTGCAGAGACCTGTAATTGTAATTCCAGTCTTTTTCATAGAATCTTTTTAAAAAAGATAAGCAAATCTTTTAAAAATAGAGAAAAAAAAAACATTTAATGCATCAAAATTCTGTTCTAGTTGAGTTGTCTTGCCTATTATAGTATATGCTTTGGATAGCTTGTATTTCCTTATCAAATATGGTAATTTTTAAAAGTGTGTTTAGAAAGAGGTTTTTATTTATGCTTTCTGCATTTTGACACCAAAAATAGTTATGTACATCATTCAATCTGAGAGCGTATACAGAAGCAGCAATATTTTAACAATTATGTTTAAAAAAAATAACATCATCACTGTGGTATATTATACAAGGTTTGAGCTGGCAAAAAAAAATGTTTGACAATTTGGCTAATGCGGTATGAAAATAGTTAGCCAAATAGAAATTTGATTAGCCAAAACAAAAGAATATAAGCAATGATAGCTTCAATTCCATTAGCTTTTTGGCTAATTTTGAATGAAAATATTTAGCCAAATTTAGCTTTTATTAGGATTTAGTTTAAATGGCTAATTTAATGACAGCTTAAATGCTGAATTATACCAATATTCAATATTGGATGTTATACGATAATGATGTTTTTGTCTACCGTGATTTTCTTTTATAGTACCTGTAGGCATGCTATATGGGAATAATTGTAGACATGGTGTGAATCTAACCAATATATTTATATTTGAATTTTCTAACAGTCTCTTGTACGATTAAAGAGCGAACTGTCGGGTGAAGAGGGCAGTCCACACCTCCACCAGCTTCAAAGTGTAGATGCGTCGTCGCAAACCGACTTGTCAAGCCGCATTCTGACCAACTCTAGGCTCGCGGAGAAAGCTAAGCTACGTTTTCAATACGAGGAAGTCAATAGGAGGTAAAAATACATCTCTTTTATTTTGGTATTTCCGTTTTTGCTTCATTATAACAAATGAATGAGAGATGCAATACGAAAAGAACCACAAATTTTTAATAATTTGTGGTAATGATTCAGGGAGTTAAAATGCTTACAGTAGGTCATAAGACAAATTTCTTCAGGCTACCGGCGGAATGTAAGGTCTCCAGGAATGTTGTTTTCCTATCCTTAAACTTTCTCTTTAATCTAGGCAGCTTAGTGCTATTGTGCTCCCGGTTTAATCCTCACAGCTATGTAAGGATAGACTTGGGGAATCTGTTTACGCCGAAAACTTGTAATTAAAGCAGCGCTTAAAGGCCGTACAGACCGGGGTTTAAGTCCGAGGATTACAACATTGAACTGAGCATGTCCTTTGTTCTGACCATGTCAATAATACAGAAGTTGGTAACCGAAGTCCACGTCCTAAACAGAATGCCAATGAATTAAGATAAATAACTACTCCTACTGTAGTTTAACAAACAACAATACAAAGCGAAGCATATATTAGTACATAGTGAGGAATTTCAATGATTTTGGATTAGGAAGTGCACTTAGTGTCTGTAGTTAATTATGCCGAACTATGTACTAATGCTGCCTACTATAAAAGAACATGACCATGAGACAGCAGGAATCATCAATAAAAAGAAAACAACTAGTACACAGTGCTAATTAGTATAGTTTGTCCAAATGCCTTGTAATTCAGAGTTTAATCTGTTCTAAAGAAACATCTTTTAATTATCAAATTAAACTTTGCAATTTGAAAGGCGATACTAAAATTACCGTGTTAATTATTTTAAATGAATTCCTTTTACTCTATAAAAGCTTATAGTAATTTTTAATTTACATAATTCCATTCTGTGTGTGGCGTGTTTTAAATGTGAAAAAGATTTTTTGTTAATATATAATTATCAGTAATCATCTGGTAATTTTTATTTGGAAGATTAATATTTCTGTACAATAGATATTTTCATCACTGTTGGTTGTACCACCCAACCACTAGTTATACCACCTCTATTGATGTCATGCCATTATATGATTGAATACCATCATATGTTTAGTGGTTGGAGGGTGTGTAAGGGGCATGAACTGTTGGGTTGGCACTCCCGCCATTTACCGAATCAAAGTAATGAACAGCTTGGAGCAGACGACAAAAAACTGATTCGTCCGATAAAATGTGTTTTTAAATTCCATTCTCTGTTTCTAAAACGGGGATCAAACTTGAAAGCAATGGTGTGATAACAGTTTACAAATTCCAATTGATTATAAAAGCACAACGCGAACAATAACTTCATCCCTGAAGCTTAGTTATTATGAAGCGCTACTGTCTAATTTTAAAAGAGATTTTTGTTAAACTTTGTTCGCTGAGATCAGGCCAATGAATAGATTTTTTCTGAGTGTTGAGATAGTTCTCACCGTGTGAGTTTCTATGCAAATCCAGGCCTACAGTAGCACTCATCAGTGATCTTCAGTATTAATAGAGTAAATAGCTATGCACTGACTCACTAAACCTTGACTGAATTATAAACTTGCTTAAACTTTTGAGGGCCTGTCCTTGTCCAATACAAACACTAGATTCATTATGATGTGTTAATTGCTGGTGCAGTATGGACTGTAGACTGATATGTAATGAATGTGTATGTAATAATATATTGAAGTAGGACTTGATATAAACATTGCTGTGGTGTTTGGTAGTTTACATGCTGTATACATAGTTTACCATTTTAATGCAAACATAAACATTATAGGGATATGGTATGTTAACTGTCATCAGTATATAAGTTTATTAATTTTATATCTCAACATTTGTGAAAAAAATGTTTGTTTTTTTTCTGGCAATTTTAATTTTAAAATTTGCACTAAATTGGTAAAAATATACTTGTATATAGTATAGATAGGCCTATACTATATCTTTAGGTATGAAATACTAAAATCCTTAAATTATGAATTTATGGTCCCTTTCTAATTTGCAACATCTGTAATTAATGTTTAACTTAAGTAATTATTGTGTAGGCCTATATATTTAAACTATGATTCTTGTATTAAATTTTGTCTATCAGAATCTGTCGAATACAAAAGGACTTGAGTAATCTTGAAACGCAGACAGCGCCAAGCCACAAAGAGGAAGACAAAAATCGTTTGTTGCTCATCAACGAAAAAGAGGACCTCTTACGTGATCTGCGGAGTACAAATCCAAGGAAACGTACAAAAGAAGAAAAACAAAAATTGGAAGAAGAGAAGTGCAAACTTGCGAAAGAAATTTACGAAGCACGAGAAGAAGCCCAGCAAGTTATTGGAGACAGGTAAATAATAAAAATACTTTTTTTGTTACTTTAAAAAAATACTCTTTATAAACACTTGCGAGGGCAGTTGACAAAACATTTTGAGCTAGTAGTGGCCTCAAACCTCTTGTGCATTTCGTGCATGCCCTTGGTAAGGCGTTTTTTCACCAACCAGAAATATAAGTCTATAGGCCTACCAGTAGGTTCGCTGATTAGGACCTATAAAAAATATCATTAGTTCAGCACTCTTATCTAAGCTGGAAAAGGGATGAGGGAGGGAGGATTTTCTTTTTTTATTTTGCTAAAGCCAAATTGTACCCTTAGGTTGTTTGCCAGCGCATTGATATTTAAAGTAAAACATGATTAAGATAATACAAACAATCTTTACTAATTAATGAAAAAAAAAACATTTAAAAAAAAAATTTTTAAAAGAATATAATTTTTTTCAATACCATAGAAGACATGCACGGGAGGGTGACAAACTAATAATTTTTTTCATTGGGCCTTATGCATCTGAAATATTATAGAATTCTCCCAATTGGACCGAGTTTGTGTTCCTTAGGTTTTTAATCCATTGATCTGATATTAAGTGAAAAATTCATAAAGGCCTTGCTCTGTATGATGTGCTATTTAAAACTGAAATAATATTATTAAAGCATTAACATTTGTGAATGGGCTCTTCAAAGGCTAGTCAGTAGCAATGCCAGCAAGTGGTCAGTTATTATCATAAGGATGGATTGCCAACTGTCATGTTGTTTTGTGGTTTTCACCACACTTCAATAAAAACAAAGTTTGATACTTTGTGGCTGAAAACTGAATCTGAGGTTACAGAGTTTCAGACCAAAATGAGTGTTTTTACTTTAATTCATCTTTAGGCATAAGGGCCAAGGGTATGCCAAACAGCAAATTTAATCACTTCTCTAAATTGCAATCCCGTATATAAACATAGACACAATGTTTTACGTTGACTAACGAACATTTCTATATCGATCCTCTAAAAGCTGGAATATAACTACCACACAAATTAAAAATTAATTTCAAAGAGATGTCAACTTTTTCATTCCAAAATCGTTTAAAATAATTTTAACATTAGAAGGCTTAGATTGTGGAGTTGTTTTTAGTTTTGAGAAATATCAGTATGACAGGATTTGAACCTAGGACCCTGGATTTGGAAGGCAAGCATCTTTAGCCAAGAAGCTAATTAATGCAGTAATTTTTGGAAGTCTAATGCAAGTTCTTAATTTATTTTCATTTACTACAGTGGATGTAATTGCTAATATGAATATAAAAACCAGAGCAAAAATATGCATAGTATGTAAAAATAGAAAGAAAACTGTTAAATACATCTTGATGTACTCTACCTTAACAAATTTTGAAATGTTTGGATTTTCAAGATTCTTAGAAAACGTGCCAAGTTCGGTTTTTGAAATTTGAAATATGCAGGTGTTCAAAGTTGTGCTGATTGAAATAGGTGAGAAGAATTTATAGCCAGAATTTGTATTAATTGTTCCGTGACATTCCTCTTTAATTTCCTACAGAATCCGATTAGAAGAACGAAAGAATCAGCTAATGCAGGAGCTGGCAGAAATGACGAAAATGGCGACGCATTTACAGAATCAAATTAAAATGTGAGTTGCCCTTGCGACGCATGCCACACATACAGTACTGCATTCACAAGATAACTTGACCACCTTTAAAAATATACTGTATGTGTGGTGTTGATATGCTTGACTATAAAATCCAATATTTGTATTGCTTGTTCAGGGGCAGATTCAAGGGGGGTGTATAGCCAGCATCCCCTCCCCTCCCCCTAAATATTTGAAAATTTAAAATGAAATGTGGGGAGGGGGAAAGAAAATTACATTAAAATTTGAAATCTGAGAGTCACATTTCTGGCCATCTAGTGATGGCATAGCTTAGAATGTCGTACCTCAGCCCCATCCATGGTAGGGCTGAGGTGGTCTGAACCCTCAATCTGTACGAGTCCCTCCCTTGGTCCCATTCCTTTCCCTAAATCCACCTCTTAATACATTGAATGAAATCTTACTTTATTCAAAATGTTTACCTGTAGTGTTTCAATTACAACATTATCATCCGGATCCAGCAAGGGTTCCTTAGCGGCTTCCAGTCAAGGCTCATTAGCATCCAGCCGAGGGTCATTGACCTCCAGCTTTACAGACCTCTATGGGTCATCACACACCAAGTATTTGAGTGATATATCAGTCAGAGAGATGCAGCGAAAGGTATGTCATTGCAGGGCAAATTATTGAAGTTTACTTATGCTATATATATTTTGTGAAAACACCCTTTGGAAATAATGGTACATACAGACCCTGGCCAGTTCAATCAATGTATAAAGAACCACACAGCTATGAACTCAAGCTGTGTATTATATTAATCTCAATTATTCTACTAATGCCTCCACTCCCTCGTCTAGACATTTTGACATGATAAAAACATTGTAGAGTGTAAAAGATAAAAATAATTACATCTTGCCACATAAGTGGTACATAGGCGCTGATGGTAATACATGCAATGTTATTGATAACAGTTTTGTCCAGTCCCGACCACCGAATTGGCTTGCGTAAAATTTTAAATGATCAAAACTCTGTCTTTATTTACTTTTTCAAGATGGTTATGTTGATATACTAATTTTATGAATGGGAGCCTGAGCTGCATAGTACATGCTACAACTAGGATAGACTTTATCATTTAAATCATAATAAATATTAAAAATATCATCTATGCATTCATATAACAATAGTAGATTTATTAATCGAAAAAATGATTGGAGTAATCACTATATTAACATTTATTTCAGCTGGAATCACTTTTACCAGGCTGTGGAATAGGCAGTGTAAAAACAAATAGCATTACACCAATCCGTGAGGTGCTAACACCGACAAATACGCTGGATCGTAACCAGAACCCGCACCTCTCGAGCCAAGAAGGACTTGCCTCGCAGGGAACACCGAACACGAACATTTCTCTATCACCGAGATCATCTTTAAATTCGCTCTCCCCACCCGCCTCACCTAGTGGGGGTGATGTTGACAATACTTTAATCGAAACAGGAGCAGTCCCACCCCCTAGTTACAAAGACCATGTAGTTCAAAGGTTAAAATCTGAGATTTCGAACTTGGATACAAACATATCGTCCTCATCGCAGGTTGTGGACGATCTTGAGTCTTCGCTTTCAAACATGCACGTTGGTCAACGTGATGTATGCAACTCTCATTCGGCATTTCTGTACGGACTTGGAAATAGGGATACAAACTCTCAAATATCTTACCTAGCCAATGGCAAAGGAGTGTTAGGACTTGATTTAGAATCGAGGATCGATAATGGAGTTGAGTTCGCGACTGATACTTATGGAAATACGCAGATAAACATGCCTCTTAGCCCCATATGTGAAAATGCACCAGGTAAGCAAATCCTCTTTTTAAATATATAATAAACATAATATATTTATGTTTATTTTATATTAAAAATATATATAATAAACATAATATAAACACAAATTAAATATTGCATAAAGACAATTCACAAAATATAACAAAGTAAATATTACAAAAGATGAAATTATCAGTAACGTTTTAACAACAAAATATGGCATCACCAAAAATATATAACATTGTAAATATTTCCTTAAAACAGTATTCCAATTTATAAAACATATATTTTGTTTGGCCTTCATCCAAATCCATCCTCAAATATCACAAGTATGTTTATTATTATCTGTGTAAAGTAACTTAAACAAAGTAAAACACATATTTGAACATACTGTAACAAAAAGACAATTCCCACTACTAAACTATTATTACAGAAGATAATATTAATATCAGTAAGGTTTTAACAACAAAATATAACATTGCCAAAAATACATAGCATTGTAAATATTTCCATTAATCTGTTCATATTTATTGATAAAACATATTTATTTTATTGGCCTACATCCAAATCCACCACAAGTATCAATAATATGTTTATTATTAGCTATGAAAAATAAATAAATCAACAAAATATATTAAAGTAAATGTTATTACAAAAGGTAATATCATTAAGTTTTAACAAAATAGACTACCAACAATACATAACATTGTAAATATTTCCAACACTTTTTCTGTTGATTGATAAAACATATTTATTTTGTTTGGCTTTCATCCAAATCCATTCTAAATATTATAAATATGTTGTTGTTATCTGTAAAAAGCACTCAACTAAATTCCACCGTGACCGTGCTAAGGGTTAAAGGTTACAAGTACTTTTTGCTAAAGTTAAGGCTGATATCTTCCTATGCCTATGCAGTGTACACTTCCAAACTCAAATACTGTATATTTCTGCCTACACAATGTACACTAACTCCAAACTCATTTGTAATTGGTTGGAACCTTTTGTGAATTCACAGAAAGGAATTCAACGGCCGCTTTTGATGTGTGTATGCATTGTTGGCCTACACGCCTTTTAAACATTCTGTGAAGCACTAATATTTAATATTGATCATTACACACCTCAACAAACAACCAAAATACTGTACAACACATTTAATTTGATTTTTATCTTCGGTGTCTTAACAGAGTTCTGTTTGTACTTATAATTATGGATCGTTTTTTTTTTTTTTTTTTTTTTTTTTTTTTTTGGTCGGTTTTTTTTTTTTTTTTTTTTTTTTTTTTCTAATTATTCGTAATAGATTTACCGGCTCAGGAGAATAGTACCTCAGCGGCGGGAACACAGAGCGTGTCTGCAGCCGTATCTAATGAATCGGTCGCTGGAGACAGCGGTGTGTATGAGGCAGCCACCAGGAGGTCAGTAACCAAAATTCAATAAATAACGTATTGTATTCTTATCTTAATGTACAGTATAGAGTTTTTTTTTTATATAGTTTGTTATAAACTCACACCGGCCTGTGTAGCATTGTATAAAGGTTGACCAACATATTTTTTTCTCTTATTTTTTATGGCGTTATTTTGGTAGTTAGCTATATTTAAGTGTAAATATTAATGTACCTATAAATTATTGTGTTATAGTGTATTGCCATATGACATCATGTATCTTTCGCAATTTAGCTAAGATAATATTGCTTAATAAAATTTCAATTGGGAAAGTGAAATTATATGAACGTCAATCATAAGTAGAATATAAAGCTCTTTCTAGATTATAAAAATTGTTTTCGACAAAAAACATTTGTATGCCCATATATAGTCATGATGCACCTATATAACGGTCATGATATGATGTCATCATTACCAATATTCATGACACATGTTCTTGTCAAATAAAATTTGATAGTTATGGACAACGGCTTAACATTTCTTTTTGGGTTTTTAGCGAGTTTGCACTCCAGGCAAGCACTGTACTTGAATGCTAAACAAATAATATTAAACCTACTTTTGGCTAGTGAAGGTTGTCTAGAATGTACCTTTGGCTAATAACAATTTACACTTTAGGCAAACAAATATTATAGTTAGATAAGGTGAATGGTATTTTATCATTTAATAGTAATTAGGTGAATGAAATATTTTTCTATCTTAATGCTAAATAAATATAATTATAATAATAACAGAACAAAAATAGTGTTTAGTGTTCATGCATGGATGGTAATTATAAAGCTGGCTAATTAGTTGATTAATAACCGAGTTTTAATTGCACTTAAAAATGCTTGTGGTATTTTAATTTGATTAAATTAATGCGTTTGGAGGTCATAAATGGATTGGTCTTAGTAGATCTGAGGCATTATGATTAGTTGATAGCCTATCAGCTGATTAAGACTCATTAATATAAATTGCTGATCTCTTGATGAGATGGAATTGGTCGTTTGGTTTGCACACAAAGCCTGACAAGTTTGCATGAATCCTCTTGTTATCACTTATTAAGTGCAACTCAAAATATTTAGGGCCAGATTAGTTTACTGTTAGTATCTAAACTAACAGTATTTCACGCGACAACACTGACGATTATAAAATGTAATGTTAGTAGTACAGTACCATTATTTTAGTGAGACTGCTCTAGTATACTGTTTTGTATCTAAACTAACAGTATTTCACTAACACTAAAGTTATGTTAATTAGGTGTAGTACCAAAAAATAACAGAATAACTTGTTACATAAGATTAGCATCAAGAAAAAGGAAAACAGTAAACATGACTAATATATAATTATACACACTGCTGATGGATTAACAATAATATGGAATAGCTTCATTCTGTATCAATACTAATATTACATATTATAATGTAACTGTTAAATGCTCAATATTTTTTAATATAATTTTAGAAATTAAAAAAGTTAAAAATGTAGTGTTTGGCAGTTGTAAAAAGATGCTTTAGGGGTCGTTCAACATTATCAACATTTTCACAAACAGTACACTGTGGGGGGTGGGGGAGTGGTAGACAAATGTTGTACACTCTTATTTATATATGCATGCTGATTCAAAATAACATGCAACATGTAAAATAATGGTAAAATTATAATGTAACCATGGATATAATATTCATTTTTAAGCAACCAAGTACATTGCGTTAGTTGACTTGACAAAAAAGATAATTTTTTTTGCAAAAATTTGTGTACACTTTCAGAGT